AGTAGTATTTCAAATACAATTTAAAACATCAACTCAATTAAAAAGACTTTCTGTGTGATTTATAAACAAACCCTAGAACCACATCCAGTTCCAAGTTAAGGATGGTCTGTGCTTGACCAAGAAGCAAGAACTCTTCTGGACCGGGGAATTATTCCATACCACCAAAGCAGGACCCAAGAGAATATCCAACATACCCAGCCGGACTGTGACTCTCATGGCAGTACTGAAAAGTGGCAAGACTGTATTGGCCATGGGAATCAGTTGGGGAGGCTCAAATACACCCACAGATCCCTGAGTGACAGACAACCTGGGACAGCAGGATCAGAATCAAAGTGGCTGGGCCTCAGAATCTGTACTTTTTAAAAAAGTAACTGAAGTGGACAGCAATCAAATGGGCATGTGAGAACATTAATCTGGAGAACCCACTGATGGTGGAGTGGAGAAGAGGCCCATCGGTAGTAGTTAATGCTCACTCTTCCTCCATCTTTCTCTCTGTCAAGCAGTTCTTAAAGGGGAAAAGCAAGCACAGAAAACAGCAGATTTATACTGGTTTGAAAGGCAAAGCGACCTATTATTAAAAAAAGAAAACCATGTAGATGGCAGCAGAAACAAAGTGGGTGATCTCGAGTCCTGACTGCATTTTTCATTAAGCAATCCAAGTCAAGCTGTCTTAGCGCAAAGACAAAGGACCTAAGAGTCAAAAGACTTGGGCTGAAACATCAAAATTATCATTTACTACTTGTATGACCATGTACGAGTCTCTTAGTGCATTTTAGCATTGTCATGAAGACTGAAATAAAAGTGATGTCATGATTGTAAAGGTAGCTGTTAACTCAAGTGGCTACACACAAGTAAGTTAAGATAGGAGCCAGCTATCTCCTCAATCCCCAGTGCCTCTACTTCACCAATGATATGTTTCCCTTCCTCCCTTTTCCATCATTGGAAATCTGTATCATCTACACTTATCACTCTTCCTTCTTTATATTTGTGTCATGACTCCAACCTTTCCTCAAAGCCTGATCTTGAGATCTACAATGGCCTTTCCCTTTCCTGCCCAAATTTTGATTTCTATTATTTACTGTTTTGTCCTCTAATTGCTGGATCTGTATCAGGTATTTCCTGCAACTGTAATCTCTTCCAACATCATCTCACAGTCATTCCTTCAACAACAAAAATTTATTGTGACCTACGGTATGTCATGTACAGTTCTAGGTTTGAACTTGGAATGAACAAAGACAAAAAAAGTTTATATTCTATGCTGACAGGGGGATAGAACATCTGGGAAGAATTAGTTCCTATTCAGCAGAGATAATGAAGAAGTAAAAAGAGGCCTGGACAAAAAAGCAGTTTGCCTGTAATGTAGAAATGCCAGGGGAGGGGAGCCAGGGAATAGGCAATTCTTGCTAGCAGGGTAAAGCAGATTAGAGTAGGAATGGGCTGACTGGGAATAGTGTGGGAGGGATGGAGCAGGAACACAAAAACCAAGAAACAAAATATGTAAATTGGTCTGTTAGAAGATAAGGTCTTAAGCAAAAGAGAAAATGGAACCGGTGAGGGAGCTTAGGAAGGGGTTACAATTTTAAAGACCAAATATTTGAGACAACAGGTGGGTGCTCATTAGCTTAGTTAAAATTATTTTAAACTCTACCCCACTAAACAACCTTTGCCGCACCCACATCTACACAAACCTTCTTCTAAATAATAGAGAAACAGAAACGACACGAAAGTTAGTAAATGTGCAAACATATCTGGAAAAGAATCCTAAACTAGTCAACAAAACCAAGTTGGAGTACAAGGAAGCTCTGCTGTTGGCATCTAGCCTTAGGATGCTTTACCTAATCAGAAGAGCTTACATTAGAGCACCGGGTGAACTGTAGCCTACATCTACTGTGCGAGCAATAAGGAGAGAAACCTTTGTCCTACTTTTTAATCATTTTAATAATGTAACTCAATAAGACACCTAATAACTTAAGACCACAGCAGTGGAGAGGGGTGGATTATGCTGATATAAATTTCAAATATGAACATGTAACTTCCAACTTTGGTTGTAACAATCAACAACTTTTCCCAATATTCAATTCTGGGAGAAGGGACAGGATTAAGGGATTTGAGAGTCAAATTTAAATGTACAGCCTGCATGGGGAATACAGTCAATGGTTCTGTAACACCTTTGTATGTTGACAGACAGTAACTGCATTAGGAGTGGTGATGCTTAGTAATATGGGTAATTGCTGAACCACTGTGTTCTATATTTGAAAGCAATCTCGGATTGTGTATTAACTATGTTTCAATTAAAAAATTTTTTTAATCTATTTGAGCTACTAAGGCATGAATATCTAATTCATTTCCTGAGTAATTATTTTACTACTTTTATAATTAGGAATTTAGATGTAGGGTAGGAATGGAGAACAAGATATTTTCATTGAGGTAGGTGATTTTCATGTGACAGTCATATTCAGAACTATAGTACTCAGAGACAGAATGGGTTACAACTTCAAGAATTAGAAACTAGTTTCAAGAGAATTTAATCATCCACTGGTAAATGTCATAATCTCATTAAATGCTTGGCAATGCCTTGGCACAGATTTTCAGGGTGAAGGACTATTCAGTTGAGTCTAAATGGCAATTCAGGTGTGCACGTATTTTACATTGACTTTCCAGACTTTCTCTGAAAATTTACAAATTGTTATTAAAATGGGCCATAACTATACTAAGGCATATTTTCTTACTGGTGAAAACACAATGCAAAACATATATATATATTTCTATGTGTGTGTAAATATTTCTATACAAAAATATAGAAAAACTAAGCTTCTCACTTTTTATTATACATCTGAAATGCAAAAATTACTTCCAGAATACTCAGTCTTGCTTCTTTAGGGCAGGGAAGACTTAACAATGGCTGACTGACTTCATGAAAAAACTGCTGTACACCTAAAATAACTCCTTTAAACCTCACAAGAAGGTGTTATTCCCCATCTCACAAAGGAAAAAACATACATAGAAATTAATTGCCCAAGGTCAACAGAGAGTAAAAGGCACAGCCAGATTGAAACCTAGAAACCTAGAAGGCATAGTCCAACTTTAGTGCTTTTAATTGCTCTGTCATGCTATTTTTAATGTCAAAGAAAACCCAAAGTCTCAGTGACTTACTTTACTGGTGAGGAAAATAAAGCCCTGTGAGAATTAGAATAAAATATTTGTTCAAAGTCACATAGCTAGTTAGTGACTAGAAACCACAGGGCATGATTACCAGCTCAGTGTCACACCAACTGCTAACACATAGAAGTACCTTAAAACAAATGAAGGGGCAAGTGTAAAAATACACATTTGACCTTTTTTAAAGTATTAAACCATAAATGTGGAAAACAGGAAAACAAAACAAAACCATACGGTTAACGTGACCAAATGCTAACTAACAGTAGTTATGTGAGTAGGAAGAGAATGGGTGGTTCTTTTTTCTTAATCCCTTGCCCCAATGTGTAAAACACTTCAATATTTTTGTAATATTATTATTGGTACACACACACAGCTTTCTTGTGGAGACTAAATACCCCGGTTGAAATAAGAAAACAGATAAACATTCATTCATACAAAATTAATCCCTTACAGGAAAGGGAGACTCCAGCTAACAGCGTACCATCCTAGCGGTTCAGGAGAAAGGCGTATTACAAATTAAATTTCTAATTAAGTAACCGGTTTAAGTAAAACGTGCAATAAAAAGTCCCATTTACCTTGCAGATTTGAGACAGGCGGAAAATGCTTGATTTTCCACAAGCACCCACTTTAACCCTTAACTGCCAGCCTGAAGCTAGCTAATGCAAGCTAACTGCGCATCGTCAGAAATAATCTTAGAAGTAGTTCTTAACATTATGCAAAATTTTGTCCTTAACATAAAGGTTTTTGCGTCTAAAAAATATTTATCAAGTTGCAGAACCTTCCCTTGAAATTTAATATACTATGCGTTCACAATGGGATTATTGGAAATGCAAAAGTTAAGGTTCCTACTGAATCGTGTTAACGTGCAGAAAAATGGTTTCGAGGGAAAAGAGCTAAGAGCGCCGAAATTCGCAAGGTTCGTTAATGCCATCTAAGTTTTTAAGCTGGCTTTTGTTGCAGGCAAGGTGCTGTGGAGGGATGTATGTGACAGACTGGACCTGTCCCAGTCCTCCTGGAACTCCTGATCTGGTAGTGATAAGTCCAAGGCTATCAAGAAAGTAAATAAAACAGGCGTGAACACAGAAGTGCGACAGGGAGACCTGCGCCAAGTGCCAGATCAAGTGGACAGTACCCAGATACGTTAGGGATCACAGAGCCTGAAATCGCTGCAGGACTCGGGGTCGTGAAAGAGAAAGTGTCCGTCCCAGCGCTAGGACAGAGAAGCCCGGATCCCAGGACAGCATCACTCCCGCCTCCCGCATTCCAGGCCGCGTCCCGGGGCAGGGACGGGAGGCGGCAGCGAAGGGGCTCCGGGGCCGCCCCACTTTCCGCAAGAAATCCACCCGGGCTGCGCGTTGCCATTCGCAGGGCCTCACCTGAAGAGCTCAGCGCCCTGGACTCACTGAAGCGGCTGAGGCCAACTGCCCGGAAAGCCACCATCTTGAGATGAAAGGGACGAACGAAGAAAGAGCTTCCTGTGGGGGCAGCGGGCAAAGGACTTTTCCTCCAGCAGCCTAGCTCCAGCTAGGCGCCCGGTGTACTGCCTGACTAAAACTCCGATTCCGAGTTGCCATCGGCCCCCTAACTCGGCCCTACGTTGCGGCCAATACGGTTGAAAGGACTTTCTCCTCTGGGAGGAAGTAGACTCACGGAGGAGAGGGAAACAGTATTGGGTTCTCCAGTCAGGCGAGCGCCTGGCAGCCCGAGAGACCCGGGAAGCGCCCGGACTTAGGAAGGACCTAAGCCTAGGCAAGACCCGCCTCCTAGTCGGGACGCGTCCCGTCACTTGCATCTGAACCTAGCTTGGCAGTTGGGCTGTAAGCAGTCTTTTTGAGGTGAGACTGTGCTTGCGCTCGGCTTTCCGCCTGGCCTTTCCCCCAGCGAGAGCCGCACTTCCGTTCCCAGATTTTTCGCGGTGCCGGCGGCCATACCCCTCCTCGGGGACTGGAGTTGGAGAGAACACAAGCGAAGAAAGCTCTTCCAGTGGGGTCCTCCAGTACCAACGCGTTCGGCGCTGTGACTTGGACTAGCTTTCTGTGTAGCTCTCACAGCCGTATCACCTGTGTTTTTAATTTACCGTCGCAGAGTAACGAACTGTTTCCTTGTCTGTGTATAGGCAGTGTTTGTTGTTCACTTGCTTTTCCTGTAGCCGGGTTCGCAGCACAGAGATTTAGAACCGGCGTGGGTTTACCCCATTCCTGCTACTGGGAGTGGGACTCGATCATGTGATCTTTTGGGACTTGAGTTTGAGGGAGTTGAGATATTTCAATTTACTGCTTGGTGAACCAGCGCTCCAGAGGATCTAACAACCAAAAGGTAACTGGCGATTGTCTGGTTACGTGTCCCCTTGACTTCCTCGGTGAGGCGCTTGAATCAGAGTGATTTTACCCATGATCACAGGTGGTTGGAAATAGGACTTAAACCTACACCTACTAACTTCTAGTCTAGAACTCCGCACCCCATGGTAGCTGTTCTTGTGCTGGGAAGATAGTCTCGAGTCCTCGAGTAAAGGCATTTGATTCCAAAAGGAAGTAGTGTTGAGAGCCCTCTAGGCACTTTCACGCAATCTCTTTTAATCCTCCTGATCTCAAATTGTTACTCGCATTTTCTAGCTGAACTTTGGGAGGCTCAGAGAGCTTATGTTATTTTTCTGGTAGGTGGCAGAGCCAGGAATGTGTCTGACTGCTCACCACATTGACTGTTCCGCGAGAGGGGGATCAAGAGTGGCCAGAGGGAAATGGCAGGAAGTCGAGGCTGAAATGAGAAGTACAGAAAGAAAGAAGAGAGGTTTCTGTTTGAAGCTGCAGTGAAATAGGGAGTCCTCCACTGCTGTAAGCACTTTACAGGAACTGGATGACTAGTGATGATTTCACTTACCAAAAAGGATTCTTTATGACTTTCATAGGCCCTCCAACTCAAAATATTTTTACAATTCAAAGCTTGTCTCCTGTCCACCTAATGCTCTCTTCTGCTCCGAATTCCATATAACACTTATTTAGATCAGGGGTGGCAAACTTCCCTTAAGGGCCAGATAAATAGTTTAGGCTTTGCAAACCCACATTGATCTCTGCCTTATATAAAGTCTTTGTTTTGTTTTACTCAGCACCTGATTGAAATGTAAAAAGTATTGTTAGCTCAAGGCCCAGGGGTTGTCCTTTGCCAACCCTTAATTTTGATGACTCTTTTGGCTCATAACTTTTTTTACCCTGTGCTCTTATCAAAATCATAAGCTCTGTCAGGACAGAAATGTTACGTTTCTTACTGTGGCTTCCACAGAGGGGAACTAAGTACAGTTATACCACCATGCACTGTTATGAATAGTAAATACATGTATAACCCTTACTGTGTATCAGGAACTGTTCTGAGTGCATTAAGGATATTAATGTAGTTATTCCTCACAAAAATCCTATCAGGTAGGTACTGGAATATTCTACATCTTACAGATGGATTGAATTACCCGGTTGCTTAATCTTTCTCTGCCTTAGTAGTAAGTTATGCTTAAACTCATACAGCTAGGGTGGAGCCAGGGTTTGGCTTTGGACAGCCTGGTTTTAGAGTCTGTACTCTTAACCATTACATCGTGTCTTAATATTGTGAAGATGAGCTGTTAAAGACACTCCATGTTGCTTTCATTATTTGGCTAGCCCCTTTTTTCGTAGGTGTCTGCAACTTGATCCATCTTTCCGTAGTTCTGAACCCTACTCAAGCTCGTGCTACTTAGAGTTTCCATGCCCACCCCCTACCCCAAATCCTTGAGTCAAAATGTGTATTTCTTAAAGGTTAGAGCAAATGACAGTAAAGTTCAACCTTCCCATAGAGTAATTTGCTAGTCCCTCTTTGTTTTGAAATCTCTACTTTAAAAAGAATTATTAAAGGAATATATATTTTATATAATTTTTTTCGGAAACCACAGGAGAGTCTAAAGAAAGTAAATACACCTATAATTCCATCATCCAGAGATAACTATCATTAACATTAAGCTTCACATTTTTCCAGAGTTTTTTTATGCATTTATTATTTTTTATGTATAAAATGTTAATATATGTAGATTTTAAATAAAACTAGAATTATATTGTACATTAAAAACAAAATGCACGTAAAAATTTTAAGTAAACAGAATAAAATTATCCCTTGCAGCTAAGACTCTATGGACTTTATTTTCTCTTTCATAAAATGAGTCTCACTATACATATTCTGCATCTTAATATATATTTTTCACTTTGTATGTATTATGGGCATCTTCCATGTCAGTATATACATGTATGTCATTATGTTTCATTTTTCTTTCCAAACTGCTACATGGTATTCCATGGTTTGTTGTATTATAATTTATTTAACCATTTCCTACTGATGTGTATTTATATTAGTTTGTTTTCCAGCAATGTAAACAATGCTACCGTGAACACCTTGAGTATTTCTATAGGCCAGAGATCTATGTATGCTACACATACCCCTTGAGTATTTATAGGTTAAAGACCGGTAAGAGGAATTAATTACTGGTCTCAGAAATTCACAGTTCAGATTTTGATAGGTAACTGAAAATTGTCTTTCAAAAAGATCTCGGCAGTTTACGCTTCTGTCAACTGCCATGCAGATACCTAAATAGATGCCTTCTTACTAGAGTTCTATATTAACCAAACTTTTTTTTTTTGGCCAATCTGATAATCCCAAAATGGTATCTTGTTTTACTTCAATTTTTTTTACTGTTAGTGAGGTTGCACTTTTAAAATTGACATTTTAATTTCTAATGTGAATTTTTCATTTTATTTTTTCCTTTTGGTCATGTATTAGGAGGAAGTCTTTCAGTTTCAAATAACAGAAAATTCATTGAAAATTGGCTTATTGCATGGGATTTAATGACTCACGGAACTGAAAAGCACAACACCACGATGGTGGGTTTCAGAGATGATTCAATCAGGGCTCTAGTTTTTCTGAAATTCTCTGCTCTGTCCGCTTTGGGGATTAGCTCTATCTTTAGATTAGCTTTTTTCATGTTCGCAAAGTGCTGTGGTTGTGCAAAACCTTAGGAGAGATTTGTGTTCCAGAATTCCAGGCAGAGGATTTCAATGTCAGGCCGACTAGACCACCCTGAAATCAATTTCAGTGGTCTGGTAATACCTTCCATACCTGATAGGTTAACCTGAACCAGTGTCCTTGGCAAAGAGAATGAGATGTTTCTGATTGGTTTAAACTCTGAAGTTGGACTAGATTCAACCCTATGTAAATCTACATAATGGGTTGAAGTGGGTATTGGGCTAAAAATCAGATTCCATTAAAGATTGTTCCTCTTTTTCCTGCAATGTACAGAGCTCTTTATGGATTATGGGTATTAATCCTCTGTCTGTTTTACATGTTACAAATATTTTTTGTGAATATATTGTTTACTTTTTAACTTAATTTTAGTATCTTTTGCTGTGTAGATATTTTAAATGTTTGTTTAACCAGATTCATTAGTTATTCTTTTCCATTATGACCTCTGGGTTTTGTGTCATATGTAGGGAGCCTTTTTCCCACCCAGGATTATAAAAAATTTCAGATGTCTTCTAGTATTTTTGTGTTAAAAAATATGTATTTAGATAAATCCATCTGGAATTTACTTGTACTTACTGTATGGATTATGTACCTACATTTCTTTCCAAATGGTTAGCCATTTGCCCAGCAAATCTATTGCATAATTCATCATTCTCCCACTTACTTGAAGTGCTATCTTTATTATATACTTAATTCTCATACACATGAGTCTGTTTCTGAACTTGCTACATCCTCTTCTGTTGATTAATTTCTTCCTGTGCCAGAATTGCACATCTAATTACTAGTGTTTTATAGCAAGTTTTGATAACTATTAGAGCAAGGTCCCCCTTTTTCTTTATCAACATTTTCTCAGCTATTTTCATGAACTCTATTTCAGGATGAACTTTATTTTCTTAAGGGAATTTGTATGCCAGACTCATGTGGCATCCTGTGTAGCTTCTAGAGACAGTGGTGCCCGTCTCATGGCCACTTTTTGTCTCCCTGGCTAAAGGCCTTTGAGTATCCCTAGGCTGGTGAACCCAGAGCTTGGATTCATTCATCTCTTTCCAATCCACATATTTGGAGAACAATGATTTTATTTTCCGTTTTAGCCATAGGGTCTTTTTAGTCTATAAAGACCCAAGAGAAGTTAAACAAGGCTTTTCTGTTATCTATTGTATTTGTGTAACAAATTATCCAGAAATGTGACATTTTAAAGCAATAAAAAATGTACTATCTCCTGTAGTTTCTGGGAGCCACTTGGCTGGGTTGTTCTGACGAGTTTCCTGCAGGATTGCAGTGAGATGGTTGGCCACGGTCGCCGTCACCTGGAAGTTTGCCTGCCTGCCTTCATATGCTAGCGGTTTCTCTTCCAGGCTCACTGAAGTGGCTGCTGGCTGGAGACAGCAGTTTCTCACGACATGGGCCTCTTGATAAGGCTGCTCCAGACATGCCAGCTGTCTTCTCCCAGAGTGAGGGACCTCAGAGAGACCAAGACCAAAACTGCAGTATTTCCTGTAGTCTAAGTGACATACAATTGCTGCTGACACATTTTGTTTGTTTACACAAACCAACTGTGGTAAAGTGTGGGAGGCGACTGTGCAAGGGTGTGAATACCAAACCAGAGATTATTGGGACCATCTTGGAGGCTGGCTACCACGGCCTTCAATGGCAAATCTCACCAGTTTATTGTTACCATTTGTTTTTGAAGTTAAAATGTGTTCCTAAATTGAGAAATTGTAAAAGATGTACACTGACAGATCTTCCGTAGCCCCGTCACGTTAACTGTTCCCTTCCTTCCAGCAACCTTTAACATCTTATCTCTACTTGCAGGAATATTTTATGCAGTTACAAGGAAATGTATATATCACTTTTTCTCTTATTAACATGAATGATAGCAGCTTACACACTATTTTGCATGTTGCTTTCTTCACTTAATACAGATCTGAAAGGGTTCCACATTGGCATATAAATTACTTATCTTTTATAGCTGTATAATATTTCACCGGGTGGTTATAGCATGGGTGGTTTATGTCATACATTGGAAGCCTTTTACTTAGCCAGTTCTCTGTTGGTTGTTCTAATCTTTTCTTATTATAGATAGTGACAACAAAGGTCATGTCCCATGTGTGTAAATAACATCTGTGAAGTAAATTCATGGAAGTGGAATTGTTGGATCAAAAGTCAGGTGCAGTTGTAGTTTTGACAGTTGCTAAATTACACGCCCTAGAGGCTGCACCAGTTTACACACTCAGCTGCAGGATATGAGAGTGCCTGTTTGTGCGTACTCTCAGCACACGTCTAACAAACCTTTGAGTCTGTGGTTTGAGAGTTCAAATATTGTATCTCTGTGTGTTCTTAATTTGCATTTCACGAGTGAGTTTGAACATCTTTTCATGTATCTAAGCCATTTTTATTTCCATTTCTGTAAACTGTTCATATCTTTTGTCCATTTTTTTCCCTACTAATTTGTTGGAACTCATTTTTAGGAATTTAGGGCAGTGGTTAATATTTTTTGAACATTTTTTAGTATGGGGTTTGAACAGTTTTTATTATTTTGGAACAGCATAAGCTTATATTAAAAGTAGCAAGTGCAGTACACAACTTTTTCTTACAGCTGTTGAGAGTAAGTGGATGATTTACCAAACTATTCCTGAATACTTTGCTGTGTATTCCCTTCAAATACAAACATTCCATTAGGCATTCTACATAATCACAATACCATCTTCAAAATCAGGAAGTTAACACTGGGGGCTTCATTTTCCTGTTCAGCAATCTCTCAACTTCTTTGGCCCTAGAGAAGAGCATAAACTTTGGAGCTAGACTGTCTGACCTCAAATCCCAGCTCCGCCTCTTACTAGGTATGGATTGTTGGGTAAAGCCCTCAGTCCTTGTATGTCTCAGTGTTGTCATCCCTTATGAAGGGTGTAATAGAATAGTGGTTTCATACTGAAAGTGGTTTCAACATTGTAATAATAATATTAGAAGAAAGAGGGTTGTAATAGATTAAATTGTAAGTATTTTATTGTAGCCATGGATGAGGTTATCAGAGATCATAGATTACAAAATAAACTACACATTCAAATAATCCAGGATGTATTTCTCATCTTCTTTTTAGATTTCACAATGACTTCCATCTTGACTTACACTTTTAAAAGTCTTCCCAGTACGTCAAAATGGGCCCACAGATTTTGTAAGTTTAATTTGGTTTTTCTTTTGTAAGATTAGATTTGGATTTATAAGCGTTTTACTTACTGAATTGTATTGCATTTTGTAAACTTTATTTTTTTTTTCCAGCTTTAAGACCTCTGAGCTGTTCGTCCCAGCTACAAGCTGCCCCAGGTACAATACTGTGTAAAATAAACATTTCTGATTTAAATGTTAGATTCTAGATTCTAGGTTTATGAATTCTTAATAAAAACCAAAACTAATTTGTTAATTCACCTTTTTTATGAGCAACATGAACATCACTGTTGCCTTCAAATTAAAACAACATAGGGCCAGGCAGTAATGATGTTACATGGTGTTGGGTTGGGCTGGAGGATTTTGACAGGAGGCTGCTTTCTGGAATTTGGAGCCAGATAGAGTTGGATGTTCATGAACCTTACTGATCAGTTTATTCACTCACTGGCTGTCAGTCCGGGAAATGATTAGCTCACAAACACTCTTTAGAGTATTGTGGAGCCACTAATTAACTTTTTAACTTGGCATTACTGATAGGCTTCTCTATTAATAAATACCTTCTTCTCTGATAAACCGGAGGATCCATTCCTGAGAAAGAGGTGAGTGGGTAAGTAGATAATAAAAGAAGGTTGTTTGGCCAATATGAAATGAAAAGGTAAGGAAATTTGTAGATTTTCTATGGTCATTTAGTCCCGTGGTAAACTCCGTGACTTCACTGTTGACTATCTATGTTTACAGAACATGCTGTTGGTATGTATTTTCTCTGGCCTCCCTCACAAGTTCATTGTTCTCCTTGCCCAGGTCCTGTATTGACCTATGTCTTTTGGTTTTGATTTTATTGCGGTGTTCCTACTTAGGTCATGACTTAGCAGAAAGAGCACCTTAGTAGGATTTAGAAGACCTCTACTCTGTTCCAGTTCTACCTGTTTCTGGGCAGTATGGCCTTGAACTGGTCATGTCACTTCCCTGTGCTTTAGTTTCGTTGTCTGAAACAATAACAGTTCTAGTCTTGTTAACTTCAAATAGTTGCAGAGATAACTAGAAGCACTTTGAAAACTGTAAACTCAATATCAAGATGATATTTTTATATTGTTTTACAAATAGTATATTCTCAGAGATCTGTTGCCTAATTCCACCTTGCGAAAGTTTCATGTTGTCGTATAACAAATGTATTTTCTGTGGGCTTCTAAATGTTAAATAGAATGTAGACTTGGATTAGCTGTTTGAAGAATAATTCCTTTCTGCCTCATTTCACCTTTTCCCTAATTCTAGTGTTTATCTAGGCCTTTGCTTTCCAGTCACAAAAGTAAACCTGATTCTTGCCAGCTGGGTGAAGGTCATACTGAATACCAGTGAGGGAAAGCATTAATCTAGCATTTAGAGTATTCTTCTGCGTACTGTTCCTTATCTGTTCTTGTGTGTCTGTTTCCCCAGCTATATTGTAAACCTTTTCCTATCGCTAGTGGCTAACACCCTACAAGTGATTTGTGTTGACACTGATAATGATAGTGGTGCAAGAAGGTGATGGAGAGACAAAAGAATGTCAGCTGATTTGAAGGGAGGTAGCAGCCATGTGCTCCCTCACTAAACAGGTTTTAGGTTGCAATAATTTTTTAACTAATTCCTCCTGAAGCTTGTGTGAATATTCCTGCTTGACAGAGCTCTTAGAATGAAGGAATTAGAATAGAGGGATACAGGATTTATTATATTTCAGTCATTGGATGGACTGGAAATGTAAGCGTCTTATGGAAATTTTGATTGATTTCAATGGTTTTATGTGGTGTAACACATGCTACAGTGGTATGATACATGATACATCTTTTATCTGCTTTGATGTTATTGTATATATATATATAATACAGAATGTATATCAGTCACCCATACACTCCTAGGTTTTGAAGTTGGGAGGAGGAGTATTTGCGGTCATGTAGTCCAGCTTCCATGTTTGTAAATGAGAAACTTTTGGCAGACTGGAAATGGAACCCAGATATTCAATTGAGATTCTTACAATGTCTTGCTATTGTGTGCGCATAGCTCCATAAATATATGAAAAGGAGCCTTTGAGAATATTCCAATGTGGTTAGGAACCAATGTTCATATGATGGAGAATGAGAGTCTTCTGGGTGACTGTTTAATACATAATGAATACTATTTTAAAATGTGGCTTATAGCTTTAGTTTAATTACTTTATAATGTGCTAAATTGTTTGTAAGAAGGAATTTTTGACCCAGAGATTGCCATAGATGTTTACATGCATGAACTGTATATCACTGATCAGGGAAGGCTTTACTTGGAGGTGGGATGTGAACAAGACCTTGTGGGACAGGTAAAAATTAAATGGACAAACGGGCCAATCAGAAGAGAGGATGCGTGAATGAAGGCAAGGAGGATGTAATGAGCAAGGTTGTGAGGGACTGGAGCTTGCTCGTCTCTTACATGTTGAACAGCAGTGGGAAAAACTTCCGTATAGTTAAGTGGAACAAGGTAAAGCAGGGAATTTGTTAGAAGAGTTAACAGTTTGGATTTTATCTCAAAGTGTATAAAAGGGACGTGTGTTCAGTTCTTTAAAAGTAGAGTGACGTGCTGGCATGTCATCTGACTTTCCTGGCCATCAGTTTCTCTCCCAGGTCAGTCATGGTTAATCTGCAGTCTTCAAATTTAGTGGCCTTTTTCAGACCTCTTTCTCCTTGAGCTTTGATACTTTTGACCACCTTGTACTCTTTGATACCCTCTTGCCTTTGCTCTCATGCACTGTTCTCTCCTGATTCTACTGCCTCTCACGTTTACCTTCTGTCCCACGTCTTCTCTCAGCCTTCACATGTAGGGAAATCACAAAACTAAGTGTCTCTTATTATAAGTAACGGACCCATTCAAGTTAAGATAAGAGGCCTTGAGTGAAGTTATGAAACCATAAAACTTTTAGAAGAAAACATAGGCAAAAATCTCTTGAATATAAACATGAGCAACTTTTTCCTGAACACAACTCCTCAGGCAAGGGAAACAAAAGCAAAAATGAACAAATGGGACTATATCAAGCTGAAAAACTTCTGTACAGCAAAGGACACCATCAGCAGAACAAAAAGGCATCCTACAGTATGGGAGAATATATTTGTAAATGACTTACCTGATGAGGGGTTAACATCCAAAATATATACAGAACTCACACACCTCAACACCCCAAAAGCAAATAACCCAATTGAAAAATGGGCAGAGAATATTAACAGACAGTTCTCCAAAGAAGAAATTCAGATGGCCAAAAGGCACATGAAAAGATGCTCCACATCACTAATTATCAGGGAAATGCAAATTAAAACCACAGTGAAATATCACATCACACCAGTTAGAATGGCCAACATGGAAAAGACTAGGAACAACAAATGCTGGCGAGAATGTGGAGAAAGGGGAACTCTCCTCTGCTCCTTATGGGAATGTAAAGTAGTTCAATCATTGTGGAGAGGAATATGGACGTTCCTCAGAACACTAAAAATAGAAATACCATTTGACCTGGGAATTCCACTCCTAGGAATTTACACGAAGAAAGGAAGATCTGAGATTCAAAGAGACATATGTACCCCTATGTTTATTGCTGCACTGTTTACAATAACCAAGATATGGAAGCAACCCAAGTGTCCATCAGTAGATGAATGGATGAAGAAGAAGTGATAAATATAGACAATGGAATAGTATTCAGCCATAAGAAAGAAACAAATCCTACCATTTGCAACAACATGGATGGAGCTAGAGGGTATTATGCTGAGTGAAGTAAGTCAGGCAGAGAACGACCCCAAATGATTTCCCTCATTTGTGAAATATTAACAACGAAGAAAAACTGAAGGAAAAAAACAGCAGCAGACTCACAGACTCCAAGAAGGGACTAGCCGTTACCAAAGGGGAGGGGTTGGGGAGAGAGGGAGGAGGGGATTGAGAGGTATTATGATTAGTTCACATGGTGTGTGTTGGGGGTCATGGTATAGACAGTGTGGCACAGAGAAGACAAGTAGTGACTGTAGCATCTTATACTGATGGATGGTAACTGCAATGAGGTATGGGGGGTTCGATAATATGGGTGAATGTAGCAACCAAATTATTTTTCTTGTGAAACCTTCTTAGGAATGTATATCAATCATAACTTAAAAAAAAAAAAGAGGCCTTGAGTGTACTACAACTGGGGAAGTACCAGGAGCTAAGCAACTTTGTTTCTTTCCTGGCCATATGGTATATTTCTTCCTGGCCTTTCTGCTTCTCTGTCTATATCCTTTCCACTTCTTGCTGGCTTCTTTGCTCACTCAGTTTTTGCTGCCCCGAACTCTGGCTTACAAATGACTTCAGTTTACCATCCCCCTGTTCCTTCCTCATGACATCTTCTCAGCTTCAATTAAATGGTACTTCTATGCTTTAGATTCCTAAGAGAGAGAATCTGACTGGCACTACTTATCACTTGTAGGTAGATGACATGGGTTACTGATTGGCCACTCTGGGGATTGACTTTTGGTTGTCCAGTACCTACCCTGAATCTAATCAGCTTTGGCTGTGGGCTTAGGGACAAGGTGTCTGTGGCAGCCCCTCTGGCAGACACTCCAATCAGGGTAGCCCCTTTAGAAGGTATTGTAGGTGAGCAGGCACTACAAAACATGTCTGTTCTTTTCTCTGTATTCTAAACTGCAAAATCTCGTAGCTCTCTCACCTACACCTCACTTCTCTTAAGGGTGCTTTAGTTTTGCATCTCTAGCTACCTGTCAAATGGACGTACCCACCTACATGTCTCTGTCAGCTCAAAATCAGCATTTTTAAAAACTAAGTCACCTTTCTTCCAAAAACAGTTCTCATTCTGTGTAGAGTAGCCGGGTTTTCTTAGTCTCTAAGCTTCCTTTATAATTTTGTTTTCCTTTCTTCCCATTTCTGACTGGGCACCAAGATACCTCATCTTCCTTTATAAAATCTCTTGCCTTAGTCCCTTCCTTTCCTTTCCTGTTGACACTGCCTTACCCTGACCTTTAGCCACATGCATGAGTTTGCCCCAGTCTCCTCACTTACCTTCCTGTGCCTTTATCTCCTTTAACACATCTCTGTTAAAGCTGTCAGAAGGATCTTTGTTCCCCGTTTTATCATGACTCTTAGCTTGAAAATAGTGACAAATTGAATAAAACAAATGAGAAGCATTGTAGGTTTTTACAGAATGGCAATAGTCACCCAACAAATGGCCTTTATTTCTGCATAGAAAGGCAAGAATATTAAGCTATGTGGAGAGTAAACAGTATGAGCTATTGGCAACTTCTAATCTGAAGGACAGACTTACTTGTCAGATCAGTTGCATTCAATGTTATAGATTGTCAAGCATTTGAAAACAAGAATCTGTTTATTTATTTTAATTTTTTTGGTATCATTAATATATACTTACGTGAACAACATTGTGGTTACGAGATTTCCCCGATTATGAAGTCCCCACTACATACCCCATTACAGTCACTGTCCATCAGCGTAGTAAAATGCTATAGAATCACTACTTCTCTTCTATGTGCTATACTGCCTTCCTGGTGCCTGCCCCATACATTCTGTGTGGTAATTGTAATGCCCCTTTTTTCCCTTATCCCTCCCTTCCCACCCATCCTTCCCAGTCCCTTTCCCTTTGGTAACTGTTAGTCCATTCTTGGGTTCTGTGAGTCTGCTGCTGTTTTGTTCGTTCAGTTTTTCCTTTCTTCTTATACTCCACAGATGAGTGAAATAATTTGACAACTTGTCTTTCTCCACCTGTCTTCTTTCACTGAGCATAATACCCTCTAGCTCCATCCATGTTGTTGTAAATGGTAGAATTTGTTTTCTTCTTATGGCTGAATAATATTCCATTGTGTATATGTACTGTATCTTCTTTATTCATTCATCTACTGATGGACAGAAGAAACAACTTTGTTAATGGCATAAAAACCCTTAGTATTAGGTGTAATTATCATGAGTTTACCTGAAATATAGTTTGGGAACTTGTAAATGGTAGTCAGTTTCTTAGCTTTAAGAAAATTTTTTTTATTGAATTGGTTTTGTAAATGGCAATGCAACTTGGCATTGAATCATGTGATTCTTCCTAGAATGCCTATTTTAAAAAATGTTTAAGGTCATCTAACTTCAAATGTTTAATTGATAGTTCTTTGAACTTTATCTTAAAGCTGTCCATACCAAATCGAAGAAAACCTCAGCCAAACCCAATATAAGGAATATTGTCGTGATGGAGGGCATTCGCATTCCATTTTTACTATGAGGCACTTCGTAAGTATGGAATGATTGTGTCCTCCCTCCCTTCTGTTCTCCCCCCACCCTTTTCCCCGCTGGCGTTTAGTAAGTATTATTGATATATAAAAACTTGTACATATTTAGATTGTACAATGTGATTTCCTTTAAAGGTATGCAATGTGAGGATTTAATATGTATGTACATTGTGAAGTGGTTACCATGATCGAGTTAATGAACATATCCATCACCCTACATAGTTTATTTACTCCTTTTAAGGCACTTTCAAAAGTGGTCTTTGTGTAACCCAGTAGGTAATACTGTTAGTAGACTAATATATGGATAGCATTTTCATGAAATGAATAGAGTAAGTCAAATAATATGATAACATTTGTTTTTCATCCTTTTTCATGAGCAAGCCTAGTGTAATGTTAGATTGAACCAGCCCTGTTTTGAAAACCTAGTGTGGCTCTGGGTAGTGTAGTTCCAACAGGGATATCCTTTCCTTGTCTTGAGATAAATACATTGTTTCTGGGCCTCTTCTGAAGTCTGAATTCAGGGCCCATGGTTATTGTGAAGGGCATTTAATCCTCTGCTTTTGCCTTCTGGAAAGTAGCAGAATTGGAGTTGATGGGCTGATCCAAACCTTGGCACAGTACAACGCCAAGCGTGTGGAATCAGAATGATCCTAGACCTGCACAGAAATTCCCTACAATCAAACTGCAGTTCTCCTTAGACTTTTGTGCCACTTTTTGTCCCCAAGTAAGGCCCAATCTCTTCAAAAGCTGATAATGGACTTTGGTAATTAGTTCAAAACTAAATGAAATACTAATTCTCTTCTGTTTATATTGTTTTGGTGTTTATATTTTGAACAAGTCATTAACCTAAAAATATACTGGGGGTATGTTTGGTATCTGCTAGAAATAATAAGACCTATCTTTACATACTAATATAGAATGATCTAGAAGATATGTTAAGTATAAAAAGCAAAGTACAGTGTGTATAATGCCATCATTTGTGCATGATACACACCTGTGTGTATGTGTGTGTGTATACAAATGTACAGAAATTATAAATGTTTATTTTTAAACAGATGGTTTAAGGCTTGCAGAGTATTTCTTTATGGAAATAATGCTGTAAATAAATGGTAGTGAAGTTTCTTCATTTACCTTCTTTTCTGAATACGGTGTAACCCATTTCTTTCTGTAATCTCTTTCCTATACTGACGCTTCAGCAGTACGAGTAAGAATCTGAATCTTTAGCAGCAGGAAAGTGAGGACAGAGGATCCTCCTTGTACTTAGCAGCTGCACAGTAGGAAGAGAGACTTCCATCAAGAATGCTACCTTCCTTTTGTCTAGGAAGATGGATCTGTTGCCAGCCCCTCAAAGATCTGTGTTAAACAACTGGGGTGGATCACTGTCTCTGGGCCACCCATTTGGAGCCACTGGCTGTTGGCCGGTCATGGCAGCTGCCAATAGGTTATGGAAGGAAGGAGGCCAATATGGCTTAGTGGCTGCCTGTGCAGCTGGAGGGCAGGTATGTCACTGCAGCTTCATACATGCTTCTTGGAAAGTCATTTTCTTAGAAACAAAAGAAGCTCATCCAAGAAGGTTTGATTTCATTCTTTAAAACATCCTTAGAGCAATATTTCTGCTGACAGACAACCAGAAAATTATTTTGGCAGAGGATTAGAAGGTACAACTTTAATTCTGATAGTACTTTGGAAGGAAGGTGCCATTTAAATCCAAGCTAATGATGGGAGGAGCCAAGTTGGTGGCGCGAGTAGGGCAGCATAAATCTCCTCTCAAAACCATATATGTTTCTGAAAATACAACAAACACAACTACGCCTAAAAGAGAGACCAGAGGATACAGTACAACAGCCAGGCTTCTTCTACATCAGCAAGCACTCAGCATCTCATGAAGGTGGTAAGATAAAAGCCACGGCTGTGCGGGACCTTAGCGCCCCCCCCTACTCCAGCTCACTGGCGGGAGGAAAGGTGTCGGAGCGGGGAGGGAGTGGAAGCACAGGACTGGTAAGTAACCAGCCCTAGTGATCTGCACTGGGAGCACAGACACGCATTGCATGGTGCGCTGGATATTAGGGAAAAGGAAAAGTGGAACCTGTTATTGGTCCCTGCTGCCGGCTCCCCTGGGACAAAAGAAAAGCAAGTGCTTTCTGAAAGCCTTAAAGAGACAGTGGCCTCACATCTGGACAGCATCATCCCAGCACACTCAGCCCAGCAGGCTAGGAATCCTGAGGAGCTTTGGGCACCCCAGCTCCCTGGGAGGCCACGCTGCTCTGAAGCCCCTCATAGTGATAAACAGCCTTCCGTCCACTCCCCCACAGGCGCAACCCCACAAAAGCAGCTGAGCAGCTGCCCAGAGTCACCTCCCGGTGCACAGCTGACCTGGCCAGGTCCCGGGCTGCCGGTGGAGTGCAGCTGCCCGGCTCAGACAGAGGAAGCCGGGGCAGGACGTGAAGGGGCACCATTCTCGCAGGAGAGCACACCTGGTGCGGCTGCCTCCTCCCGCAGGGCTATGGACTTCCCGGAGCGCTGTTCCTGGTGTGCGGGTAACTGACACAGGCAGCGGAGAGGGGCAGTGCGATCAGCAAGCAGAAAGGGAGTTTGTCCTCCCAGCTGACACACAGGCCCCCTGCCTACGACTACCTCTATCGCCATGAAAAGGCAGAAGAATTTGGTCCAGTCCTGAATCACCCGGACAAACCCAAGAGAGGGCTTGGGGAAACAGATATAACCAATCTTCCTGAAAAAGAATTAAAAATAAAGGTCATAACCATGCTGATGGACCTGCAGAGAAATATGCAAGAGCTAAAGGATCAAGTTAGAAGGAAGAATACAAAAATAAAACAATCTCTGGAAGGACTTAAAAGCAGACTGGATGAGGTGCAAGAGACCATGAATGGAATAGAAATCAGAGAACAGGGATACAGAGAAGCTGAGGCAGAGAGAGAGAGAAAAGGATCTCTAGGAATGAAAGAAAAATATTAAAAGAACTGTGTGACCAATCCAAATGCAACAATATTCCCATTATAGGGGTACCAGATGAAGAAGAGAGAGAAAAAGGGATAGACAGTGTCTTTGAAGAAATAACTGCTGAAAACTTCCTCAAACTGGGGGAGGAAATAGTCTCTCAGACCATGGAAGCCCACAGATCTCCCAACACAAGGAACCCAAGGACGACAACACCAAGACATATAATAATTAAAATGGCAAAGATCAAAGACAAGGACGGAGTATTAAAGGCAGCCGGAGAGAGAAAAAACATCACATACAAAGGAAAACCCATCAGGCTATCATCAGACTCCTCAGAGGAAACCTTACAGGCCAGAAGAGAATGGCATGATATATTTAATGCAATGAAACAGAAGGGCCTTGAACCAAGAATACTGTATCCAGCACGATTATTTAAATATGAAGGAGGGATTAAACAATTCCCAGACAAACAAAAGTTGAGGGAATTTCCCTCCTACAAACCACCTGTAGAGGATATTTTAAAGAGAATGCTCTAGATGGAAGCACTCCTAAGGCTAAAGAGATGTCACGAGAGAAAATAAAATCACAGCAAAGAAAGCAGACCAACCAAATACTAACTAAAGGCAAAAAATAAAATCAACTATTCACAAAAGCAGTCAAAGGAAACAGAAAGAGTACAGAATAAAACACCTAACATGTAAAGGATAGAGGAGGAGGAATAAGAAGGGAGAAAAATAAAGAATTATCAGACTGCATTTATAATAGCTTAATAAGCAAGTTAAGTTAGATAGATAGATGGTAAAGAAGCTACCGTTGAACCTTTGTTAACCATGAATCTAAAGCCTGCAATGGCAATAAGTAAATTTCTTTCAATAATCACCCTAAATGAATGGACTGAATGCACCAATCAAGAGACACAGAGTAATAGAATGGATAAAAAAGCAAGTTCCATCTATATGCTGCTTACAAGAGATTCACCTTAAACCCAAACACACACACAGACTAAAAGTCAAAGGATGGAAAAAGATATTTCATGCAAACAATAGGGAGAAAAAAGCAGGTGTTGCAGTACTTGTATCATATAAAATAGACTTCAAAACAAAGAAAGTAATGAGATAAAGAAGGACATTACATAATGATAAAGGGGTCAGTCCAACAAGACGATATAACCATTAAAAATATATATGCACCCAATACAGGAACAGCGACATATGTTGAAGAACTACTAACAGAATTAAAGGAGGAAATATAATGCAATGCATTCATCCTAGGAGACTTCAACACACCACTCACTCCAAGGGACAGATCCAGCAGACAGAAAATAAGTAAGGACACAGAGGCACTGAACAACACATTAGAACAGATAGACCTAACAGACATCTACAGAACTCTACACCCAAAAGCACCAGGATACAAATTCTTCTGAAGTGCACATGGAACATTTTCCAGAATAGACCACATACTAGGCCATGAATCGAAACTAATTTTTTCCTAAAACAATGTTTATGATTTGTGTTTTTAAAAGTTAATATATGCTCATTATGGAAAATACAAAATCACTTTTAATAGAAACCATTTATAGAGCATCTACTGGGAATCAGACTACTGGACAGACTCTGATGTGTGTATTTATACGTATGTGTACATAAATACATGTCTATGTACACACAGCATGCTAATTTAATGCTCATAAACCACGATGACATAGGCACCATGAGCCCCATTTTACAAAAGAAACTGAGGCCCAGAATGGCTAGTAACTTCTCCAAGATCACACAGTATTTGAAGATCAGAACCAGAATCAAACTCCAGAGCTGTATTTTTCCCATGTTCTTTGGTGCCTCTGTTGGCTGGATTCATCTCCTTTCATTGCTCTCACTGAACTTTTTTTCCTTTACAGGGCCATGCTATGATAGTAGAAGCTTATCCAAAATAATAGATCAAGAAGAGGCAACCTGAATTTCTGTGTAACATTCACGCTAGGCAATGCCATTTCAGTGCAATACTAAAGGAGATCTATAGTTTCTAGCTCCTCTGAGGAAAACAAATTTATGGCCTTCTGGTAAACACTCTGCAGTAGCTTTGCTGGTTTCTGAGCTTTCCAATAATCACAGCTTACTGCTTTCAGGGATTTCTTAGTCACTGGAATCTCACCCAGTGATACGCTGAAGCAATCGCTTTTGGTCTCTCTTTTCATTAAAGGCTTAGTGAGTGGTTGCAGCTTGGGAAAGAAGTTAATTAGATTTGGAATCATCTTTGTAACATTTGCAAATTATGCTCATTCCTATTTATTACCTAAAGATAAGTGTTTTCTAGAAAATACACACCAGTGTGCCTACATGAACTTAAGTATGGAAAGATAATTTAGAATCTAAACATGACTGAAAACTTAACAGTAAATGTTTACATACATAAATACCATGTTTGTTAACCTTAATAAAATGGAAAAGTATTGGAGAACTGTTTGCTTTACTTTTTTTTTATAAGAGGTAAGTGTGGTTCTCAGCTTACTGGCAGATTTTGCCTTTGATCACTCATTTGTAATCAAACCATATTCGTCAACCATGAGGCTGCTAGGAACATAAAGAGGGTCCTGCTTTAACGCCTTTTTTCCCCATTGCTCCATTGAAGATGTTTATGCTCTGTTTGAAGATGCTTTTGTTTTCCAGTATTTAAATGAAAAGAAATTTAAAATTTTTGTTCAACATAATAAAAGTCCTCAGTTTTTTGTCAACCAGATTACACTAAATATGTATGCTTAGTACTTCGATGAAGCAAACGTCTCAAATGTGACCATTTCTGTGAATGTTGCTTAGGTCTATGAATTTTATTGGCAATAGAGCCAAAACATTTTTCCATATTAGTAGGTGTAGCTATACATAATTTTTAACGACCACATAGCATTCCTTTGTGTGGTTATCCTAAGTTGTTAGTTACTAAGTGCATCTATTTTAAGGGTGTAAACATGGAATGCATATCCTTTATCCATTTATCTGTTCACTTGCCTACTTATTTCAGCCATCTGTTTAGAAATGGAATCACTGCTAAATCTCACTTTCTTGTATTTGCCTCTATAGCCTCCCTCCTTTTATAGTCCTTTTTTTTATGCTGAGAGCCAAGTGAACAAACGCTTAACATTATTTCATTTATCAATTCTACAGTATTTTTGCAGCAGAGCATGCATTGAGTATGTGCTCACAGTTGAGAAGGAAAATGAGAACACATTTTTTAAAAACATACTCAGAAAAGCAGTCTATGCTGCTTCTAAAGTACAAGTGATTATTTGAATTGTTCAAAAATAATTTTATAATTTAAAATATTGAGACTAAATATTAATAAGGAAGTGAAATTGCGATGTGACTATGTCATCAGGAAAACCAGCAAGGCACAGTCCCCACTGTTTCAGCAGCTGCTTGGCACACACCAGGGCTGGAACAAGTACGAGGGAGGCATAGGAACATTGCTGTTGCCCGGTGAGTTGGTGACTTCTTGATTGAAACCATTTAGAGAAATACATGGGCCAGTTTATGTGTAATTAAAATATTCACACAAATGGTTTAAATGAAGGTACAGCTTTTGTAAGAGAAGTGTTTTCAGTGGCATGTGATAACACATCTTTATTTCAACAAAGTGTTCCCATTCTGTTTTATAAAAATATCCATGAATTTTGTAATTAACAGAGACCCACTCAGAATATTTTCATTTATCTAAAAGGTTTCTAGAATCCTGTTGTCATCCTCTTGTGGATTCTGTAAGTTAATTTAGCTGGACATCTTGGCGTCCTTGAAAGGCTTTTCTTAAGTATTTCTTCTTTTCGTGTAGTCATAGCTTGGTCCCTTTACTTTTAACTGTCAGCATTTGTCATCTTTTCTCCTGAATTCTGGGCAGTCTGCAGTGCTCTCCGTCTACTTTAAAATGTCTGATACATTCTTAACAAATGTGCTCTTACCAGTGACTTTTGGTCTACATGCCTACGTCCATGAAACTTTCATGTTATGTTAATATTTTTTTAAAGGTTAAAGAAATAGGGATCTATTAATTTCATCTTTTCCTAAACTTTAAAAAGAAGCAAACCGATTTCTGTCCCTCACTTCCATTTGGAACATCAGAATTCCTGTCAGTTAAGTCATCCTTTCTTTGTACCTATAAAGAAGTAATCAGAAAAGAAATCACTGAATAGTTGAAAGCTTTTGATCAAATACATCTGTAATATGAGCTGTTGAGTAGTTAAAAACTGGTTGAGACAGTTTTACTAGCACTTGTTTTGAATTTTCATATCTGTTCATTATTCTTATAGCAGATGCAGGCTTATTCCTTAGGCAGCTTTAGCTAGGTTTTTATGCTGTTCTTGTTTGGGTAATTTAGGGTGGGGACCCGGGAGTTCCAAAAGAAGGGATTATGACTAATGGAAACACAGCCTGTCTTTCCTGCAGCCTGAGCTTTGGGCGGGGAAGGGCTAGGAGAATGGGGCCAGGGGCACTCTGGTGGATTCAAACACTCCCTCTACTCCCTTGGAGGAACAGGCTGAGCATGTAGTTTGTCTGTAGCTTCTGCCTCCCCGGGAAAGTGCTCACCCTGAAGGTCTGGGCTGGTGAAAGGAGACCCTGCACCGCCTCCTCAGCTGCCCTCCCCTCCAGACACCAAGCCCAGCAATTGCAGTTCCTTCAAAGCAAGGGCTTTACAGGATAATTAAACTTGATAATATGAAAAGGAATTTTCAGTGAACAGAGTCAAGGGTTGGTGGAGAAGAAATTCCCTGCAGCTTCCTGGGAAAGCAATTGAAGATGCTATACCATTTGCTCTCTTGAGGCCTCCACATTCACCAGCCCACCTTGAAATGTCTGTACTGATAGTGTGTTTTCCACTCTTTGGGCTGGGACAGGTATATGAGGATGAACCTCAGCCAAGAGCTTTGCCAGGAAAACCTTCGCTGCATTCCTCACCCTGTGCTGCTCACACTGCTCCCAAGAAAGCTTAATTCTCACCTGGCATTTTCACTTCTTTCTTTGTTGTGTTCTGGGATGCAGGTGTCACTTGTGCCCTAGGAAGGGGTGAGGTGGCCCAGTTGCAGGGCATTTATTATATTGTCAGCTCTTGCAGAGGCTGTATCCAGTTTTCCATTATCACCTGCCCTCCTATTGTGATCTAGGTACTTTGCTCTTAGCTACAGTGACTCCCATGCACACCTGTCCTACCGTTTCCCTTCAGATGGTAACTGGAGGCAGATTTTCAGATGGAGAAACCAGGGACAAGAGAGTTAGCAGGAGTCCCGGTTGTGATCAGGAACCCAGGAACCTGATTCTGACTGCCCTGACGAGGCTGCTTTCTCCACTTCTGGAGAAAAGCACTGAGAAGTGCTCATTCTAAAAACAACCCCAATCTACTCTTGGCTTCTAAGCTGTGCCCATCTCCTCTGAGGAAGGCTCTGGAACACCTGCTTCTGACATGCTCTTGGGAGAACTGGGGATTCAAAGCCAGGAACTCACCAGGGAGATGGTGGAGTTGGGAGGTTGGGTGTGGCACAAGCGTTTGAGTAAAGCCTCCTGTACCTGCAGCAGAAATAAATGCCTGGATTATGCTGGCCCAAGTTCCAGCCTTGGCACCACTAGTCAGGCAGAGGTTAGGTGGCCAGACGTACCTTCTTGTCCATGAGGCAGCCGAAGAACAAGATGAAGACGCCCTGAAAGGACGTGGGGATGAGTTAGGCAGAGGAGGAAGGAATCAACTGAAATCAGCCCTTTCCCTCTCCCTTCAGCTTCTGTCCTCTTGTCTAATTCACATCCTGAAGTGTCCCATCTCGAGTTCTGTGTCAACATCATTTGGTGCACAGGATCCATTTTAGGTGCTTTTCTTAACCGTTAGGATTACCTCAGCAATATCATAGGATTCAGTACTGACAGTTCCCTGACTTCTCTGACAAAACCAGGTATTATTTCACAGATAAGAAAACCAAAGCTCAGAGAGGTTTGTCCACAGTTACCTAGCTGATTGGTGGAAGAACTGGGATCCAAGCCTGAGCTTTCTAAAGTTCCCGAGCCTGTGTTTCTGCTCCACCACCATGCCTCCCTGAGAAGGGACTGGCAGAGACTTAGACCATCTAAAAGGGCGAAAAGCACAGCCACCACGTTTTCACCCACCTGGGAGGTGTTGAGAATCGTGAAGGTGTAGTGAGGGACTACGGAGACTTCTTCTAACAGAGTAGCCAGGCCCAGCCCCCAGGTGAGGCCGAAGATGGGTGTGAGAACGAGCAGGGCTTTGATCACCCCCAGAAGAGCATGGCGCTTTTCCACTTGGGGCCCTTCTGACAGCGATGGTCTCAGCAACTTCAGCACAGCCATAATTAGTACCAGCCCGTTGACACCCAAAATAGCCAGCACTGGCCCCACGAAGGTGTAGAGTGCCCCTCCCCTCCCATCCAGCCAGCATGCTCCCTCCCCCAGGTATTGCCCTCGGGGTAGGTAAAGGCCCAAGGCAACTCCCGCAAACCCCATGGGAAACAGGTAGCCGAGGACCACCATCAGGGAGAGCACCCTGTGCTTGGACAGCTGATGGAAGACAAAGAGCAGCTGGTGGGCCAACATCAGGGCCTGAGCCAGCATCCAGAAAAAAGTGGCCAGGTAGAGGAAATGGCAGAGGAAGGCAGCAGCCAGGCAGAGTGGGCTTTGGGGCCCTGGAGGCAGCAGTGGGGTTCCCAGGAAGCAGGTGTCTGCAGCCAGCAGGCAGAGCACCGTGTTGAGAAGGGCCACGTGACGTAGGTAGGCAACTTTGTTCCAGACCACAACTCTCCATACCAGCCTGTACACACCCAGGCACACAAGCAGTGCCAAAATGGAGGCTCCCAAGCCCACCTGGGTCAGCAGCTCCAGTGTGGGGTTTTCTGGAACAGTGTACTGGGACATGAGGATGGAAAAGGCAGTGAGGTGCCGACAGATGCACTGAGTGGTGGGGCTGGTACTGGCTGCCTGCACCTGGCACCCTTCATCTGACCAGCCCCCCTTGCCCCGGAAGAGATCATGGTCCCAGAAGACACAGTGGGGGGTGCCATCTGTGTCTCCAAAGTCCATGATGACTTCTCCCTGATTGAAGGCCTGGCCACCTGCCATGATGGAGATGGCGAATAGCAGTCCAGGAGTGGCATAGAAGGAGTCCCCTAGCCCTTGTCCATAGTTTGAGGGTAGAAGGCGGTCTAGTTTCTGCAGCATCAGGCTAGTAATACTGATGTTGGTTCCAACACGGCCCAGTGGGGCCAGTGAGCACCCGGGAATCTGTATGTCCAGAGGGGGCTGAGTGGAGAAGGAGACTCTGTAGTCAGCAGGAAATGTGGGTCCCAGGAGCTGGGTCTGCAGCTGCACGTTGGACAGGCTGAAGGAGAAGGGGTGATCCTGTGGGCACAGGCTGCGTGCCAGGGTCTCCAGAGCCAGCAGAAGATCTGAGCCCACCGAGGGCCTCTGGGCCTGGACTGGGGTCCACAGAGAACTGCTGTCCATGTCTAGGACCTTGTCTGTGGTTCTCAGGAGAGCCTGTGGTACCCAACAGAGAAATGAGCCCTTCTTTCCTAGCCAGGGGCATTGGGAACTACAGACCCCAAAACCCACCATTCCTATTCCAGTGGGGAGACAGGAGAAAGGTGGGCAGGCCTGTGAAGGGAAAGTTTCTAGGTAGGAGGAACGGGGAGCTGCTCAGCTAACTGCTGGGCATCTTCAAGCAGGTGGTCTCCTGATGCACAGCAAGTCCCTGCATCTGACAGCCTTCTTCCCCTCCATCCCTAAGGAGATGCCCTCCAGTTCTGTGACCTCCACAAGTCTGTTAAGCTAGGCACACTGCTCAGAGGTAGAGGGCACAATGTTCTGAAATAAGGGCCACATGCATGTCTGTACACCCATATGTGTTGCATGTTCCCAGACAGGAAGGGTGTGTAGTGTCATTGCCCCACTTATTCTTCTGGCTGCAGCCTTTGAATCACTGGCTGATGCCAATACTGAGAACTGATTTAGGTGAGTCCTGCAAAGCCAAGTGTCATTTCAGTATCTCCATATAGCTACCTACCCTGCATATGGAGGGGTCGGGCTGAAGGGACTCCTGTCATAGCCACACATCTGCATGTGCATGCCTCTGAACTCCTATCTTCACACCTCTTCTTGCCTTCCCCCCCCTTTACATGTGTTTCCTTCTTTATATATCAGGCCTTCTCCACATTCCAAAGCCTTGGACACTGGTGTCCAAGAGCAGAGATGGACCAGGATTTGGAGAGCAGATTCTAAAACGATCTGCCATCTGATAGCCCACAGTAATGTCTAAGGGACAGATGTGCCCAGAGGTGAAGAGCTGCTGGCTCCCACTACCCAGGCAGCTCCTGCTATGGCTCATAGATCTCACCTCCACGGCACTGTAGTTAAGCTGTACTCTGGCATCCACCACCACCTTGGCCACAAGTGTCATGGTGCCCAGCAGCGCCAATAAATCTGAGGGCGAGTCCACTGCCATCACCTGCTCCTGCAGCTGTGCCAGGATCTGTGGCACCTCATCAGCAGGCCAGCCCTGGCCTGCCCGCAGCAGCTGAGACAGACAGATGGCAGGAAGGGAATGGTGGGTGAGTCCTCACAGGGGAGGGCACCCTCCTAATGCATCCAGTCTCTTCCTCCCCATGTAGCACCCCACCCCAGAGGAACAAGAAGTACAAAGCAAGGTGACCATGTGGAAGGAACTAACACCAGTGTTAGTGGAACACACACTTGATGGTTAAGGTTTGGGAATAGCGCCCTCCCCCCCTGGAGAGAGCTAGCCATGCCAAGGCTCCCACACCTCCTTCCTGGTTCTACCCAAGGCTGCAGTTCAGAGGGGCGGACTAACCTACATGCTGGGTCTCAGGGGCAAATGATTCTAAACCTGGGTCCTGAGTGAGGAAGGGGTAGGTCACCGAGGGCAAGGCATGTGGGCAGCAGGGCCAGAAGCTTTACCTGGGCTCTATGAAGCAAGGCCAGGAGCCCCGTGTCTGTGCAGCTGCTGTGGGTGGGTCCCCAGGCCCCGCTGGGCCCACAGGTCCTCTTCACCATGCCCGTCCTGTTCACGGGACACGGGGCCTGTGCCACATGACCAGCCTTGGTGACATTCCAGGCAGTAGCTGAGGAGTCCTCGGGGCAAGTGGTGTCTCCATCTGTAGAATGGTATCAGGGAGGGCACAGAGACCACAGTCTACCCTGGGCTGTTCCTTGGGCAGAAATCCAGGCAGGCTCTGGAGCCCCACCCTGTTGCCCAGTGCAGGGAATGTCCAGGAGGAGCTCCCAGGACAGGCAGGTGGGGGGTTGCCAGCTGTACCCCAAGTCCCACATACCCTGGATGATGGTGACAGAGACAGGGACCCTGAGAGGGGTTAGTCCTGGGCTCTGCAGGTCACAAGTGTACGTGGTGTCAGCTGCCGGGCAGTGCAAAATGTGCAGCACAAGACACTGGTGGCCTGACGTGTTGAGTAAGGAAGCTGAGGGTGAGGTGAGACAGGAGACAGTCACTGGGCCTGTAGCACACCTATATCCCAGCAGGCCCAGGGATGCTCTTCCAGTCTTTCTAGCAATTTCAGAAGCAGATGCCGCAGCAGGGAAGAGCTGAGTACATGGGCATCAGACTACAGGAGGAAGAACCCGGGTTTTGGTGAACGGCACCCCGGGGGTCTCTGACTAGTCCCAGAACTTGAAGCCACAGTTTCCTCATTTGTGAAATGCACACTGTCACCAAACGACCCTCGTGAAGTGTCTTGTGAGAGTTCAGCGAGACGCTGTGGATGGAACATTTTGCAAAAGTTATCTGTACTCGTTGGTTATTTCTGTATCAACAGAGCTGGGATTGCCCTATGCACTAAAAGGAGTTGGTCTTGGCCCCAGACTCCAGGGTGAATTGCAGCCTGTGTCTTGTGAGCTGGAAGGCCAGCTCCTGACCCCCAAGCACTGGCCCCTCTCCATACCTTTGCTGCCTTCTCCGGGGCTCCAGGACACCACGTAGGTGGGGTGTGTGCTGGGAACACAGCAGCTCAGCTGGAAGCCGGGAGACGTGGCACAGGAGATGGACAGCTGGTCTGGAAGCCGAGCCACATCTGTTGCCTGCAGGGGCACTCTCACCACGTGGTACAGCTCCCACCTGAATCCCTGGGCCTCAAAGCAGCACTGGTACTCCCCTGCAGACACACAGCTGCTGCAACTCCCGCTGCTCTGGCCCCAACTCTGCCACTCAATCTGCTGCTTCCCAAGCCACGCCCAAGGTCGCCTTGTTGGTCCAGCCTCTGCTGAACCCCAGCAAGAAAGATCCCTGTCCCCAAGAGGATTCCTGCGAGGAAGAAGAGATCTGGACAAGGAGTTCCTGACCCTTTTTTACTATTAGCCTGTCGCCTTGGATTCTGAGGTGAACCTCCCTCCTGCCAGTAGAGGTCCTTCCTGCACCAGCCTCTCCAGTTCAGCCTCTTGAAAAAACATCTGCTCTCAGGCAAAATTGAGCCCAGATTTTCAGCATTTTCTCATTATAATTTTTCACATCAATGGGCCCCTAAGCCTTCGTTCCCCATAATGAATAAATGGAAAGATGAAGAGGGCAGGAAGAAGAGACAAAAGTAGAGGGAAGGAGAAGAGAGGGAGGAGGAGGGAAGGGCTGCCCAGCTACCTGCCCACTCATGAGAGATGTTGAAGATGCTGAGGACCACCTGGCCTGGATGAGAGGTCAGGGACACCCGGGACCCTGGCTGCAGGAGGACAGGGCTGGAGTTCCCTGTGCGCCACAGGAGCCAGTTCAGGTCGGTGGTCTCATGGCTGGTGAGGAAGGTCAGGTTCAGCGTGTTGCCAGGCATCTGTAGCCAGGAGTTCAGGAGCAGGGTTCTGGGGACTGCAGGGTGGCAGGAGACAGTGGGCCCTTGGCAGGTACAGTGGCTCTCCGGGCAGCTGAGTCTCACCCCTTCCTCATCATCTGAGCCTGTTTCTCCTCACCCCTCTCCCCTCCTAGCCTGATTTGTTTGTTTTGTTCCTGGGTGAGTGCGGCTACTGCAGCCCAGCCCAGAAGACCCTATCTGTCACTGGGAACCAAATGCCACCTTTTTGGCCTATCACTCCCTGTCCCCCCGGGTAACATGGGACCGCTGGGGTCAAGGGCCATGTCACTACAGCACTTTCTCTCTCCGAGAGGCAGGGGCAGTAGAATTTCCCCCTACCTGTCATGAGGCTGAGGCTAGTCAGAGTTCTTGATGGAGAAGAGGCCAAGGCGGTGGGGAGAGTCGGGGTTCTGGAGAGTGCCAGTAGCCAGGCCTCATTTGCAAAGTCCAGCTCTACATGGACCGAGACCAGGACTGAGTCTATAAGAGCAGAGGGCACAGGTGGAGAGGAGAGGCAGCAAGGCCACATTTGCCTTGCACACCTGGTTGGTCACGGCCAGGAAGCTGGAGCAGACCCCTACACCCTCACCCCCGAATAGCCTGCCGAGGAGCCGGCAAGGCTCAGTGGGGAAATGGCCCCCCCTGCTGCAGTTCACTCAGACTACTGCCAGCCTCCCAGCAAGACCCATATTATAGACAAGGTTTTCATAGACGGATGGCTTTCTCACAGCTTCACAGCTAGAGAACTGGTGTCTGGACCTGCTGGACCTGTGCCAGGTCTCTTGCTCTCTCTAATCCCCGCTGCCCCCGGATCCCTCCTGTCCTTTCTTCCCGCCAGTACCCCGCTCCCGCTCTGCCCCTCCTGTCTGTCCACTCACCACCTGCTCCACTCTCTTGGTCTAGTTGCTTCCCAGATTCCCCTCCAGCCTGACTCTGTCCCTGGAACAGAGCACAGAGGAGAGCCCTCTGAGGAGAGCCTGACCCCAAGTTTCTCCAGGGACACCTTCTTCCCCAGGTGGCTCAGGGCTCAGCATGGCCAATTTGGCATGACTCCATCTCTCTGAAGCTCATCTTTCTGCCTGGTATCAAGCGGACACAGCAAAGGGGAGACATTAGTCTTCTGGTAGTAGGTGCCAGGGATGCAGCCCCAGGGACTCCATCAGGGCCTGCAAATCTCCTCTGAACCCAGGAACCAGGCACACGCGGCAGAGTCAATATGTTTTGCTTAATTCATTCCTGACTTTTCCTGTCCCCGGGCCTCTAGGCTAATTGATGCAGCTGGGTCTGGAGCTCCCGTGGGGAGGGCTGGGCAGAGCTGGCTGGGGCCCAGGGACTTGGGGACTTCTATTCCCCCAATAGGAATTTCCACGAGGGTGAACAGAAGGCAGCACATTCCTTTAGTCTCCTGTTCCCATTATTTCCTTACCACTACTTCCTTTCTCAAAATTGCATGTGCATGTGGGTATGTATCTAAAAACAGATATGCACATAGATAAGGATATGGTATAGACAGGAGACAGATAGACACACCTGAGAGAACATGTAAATCAGTAGTAATCTAGACTCCATGCCTGTCTTCAGATTCTTTCCTGTCCTCTACACCAGTGGGTCCCAAATTTGGAAAGTTTTTCTTTTAATTTTTAAATTGCAAGCTTGACTGGAAAAGCCTTTATCCAAAGTGTAGCTGGCGTCCCTGGAGTTCACAGGGACTCAAATAAAGAAACAAAAGCTGTTCACCAAACCATAGAAAATAACACTGAAGTCTCGAGATCTTATAACAAACCAGTCTCTTTGTTTTTTATGCAATTCTTCCTCTCCCTCTATCCATTACCCCTTTACCTGTCCTTTCATTACACACCTTGCTGCCCTTCATACTGAGAGACCACTGCCATCGCCGCTTGAATACCCCTGTCTTCACTCCAGGATTACTCACAGGTTGGGCTGCTCAGGCAATTGGTGACCGACCTTGGACAGAGTCATGGCCAGGAGGAGCATGGAGGCAGTCGCACAGGCCATGGCTCAGTGAAGCCGTCCTCAAGTGCCTTCTTCAGCGGCATGATGCAAATTTCTTGAGAAGAGCTGGCAGAGCACAGATGGGATGTGGGGGAAGAGTGGAGGTGAGCCAGGTCGCATCTATAGTCTGTGACTGAGTCACATGAGCATCCAGGTCACATGGAACCCACATGCCCCAGTGAGAGTGAACTGCCCATTTTCCTCCTTGGGTCTGGACCAGAAATTCAGTGAGCAGAAGAGGACTTAGGGGTCCTGGGCCACAACCAGCAATGTGTCATTAAGCCACATTCAGTCACTTATTGAATGTGACAGGGAAATCTAGATCTCTGGAACGCACAGGAAAGCGAATCATGATCACAGACCCAGGGTTAGAAAACACATCAGAGCTGATTGCTATCCTAAAACAATCTCCAAATAGACAAGAGTGTTAAACGTAACAGAGAATCTGGAAGAAGACCAGAGAAATTATCAAGTAATTTCACAAAATAATTTTGAAAGGAGGAAGGCTTTGCCAAGCACGGTACAAAACAGGAAAGCCTAAACGGAAATAAATTAGACTATCTAAAAAGTTTTAAATTTGAAATTTAAAAAAGGGTAAAAGGCAAAAGGAAACATACTTGTAGCACTGTGACGGAATAAAGGGCTAATCGTAACATAAGAATTTTTAAAGCTACACATCAATAAACAGTAAATGGGCAAAAAATAGGAATGAAAATATCAATAGTTTGGTAAACATATGAAGACATCCAACTTAGGATTGGAGAAATGCAAACTGAAGTAAGAAAATACTCTGTCACCTACCAATTATCAAAAGACAAGATACTGATTATATGCAGTGTTGACAAAATGTACTTGCACGTGCGTACAAAATTATGTAGCACGACGTTCAAGGGAGAGTTCTTTGTGATAGCGAATGAGTTAAACAACCAAAATATCCATTCAAAAGGGATGGGTTCAGTAAATTATGGGAGTTCCTGACCACAGAACATTGTTGTGGAAAAATAAAAAGCAAAGTAGCTCAGTGGTGCAAATTACCAGAGAAGGGCTGGCAAGACACAAAGCAACCCCAATATATATGGTGAAGTTTAAAGTGTATATTTTGATCCCCTTCATGTATAAAAAGGGAATCTATATTGGGTGCCTGTGCGTTTTATACATAGAACATTTCTGGAAGAATATGTCAGAAACTTGGCAATTGTTGCTTCTGGGGAAGGAGATTAAGGGTCTAGATAGGTTTGTGTGCTGTTTGAAAGGTTATTTTTCTAATGTTGGGCATGTATTTTTTGAATTGAAAAAGCAAAGTTGATTGAACTCTGTGCATGCATGTGCACTCCCATGCTTGACACATACACAGAGTACTTAGAGCAGAAAACCAGCCCCATACATTTTACTGTCCACCACCGCCTCCAATCCCCTCTTCCTAGGATAGCTGCTAAGGAAGAGCAGCCACACAGAGCAAATATATGCATGGCAGCAAAGACTTTGTAAATAACTGATTTCAGAAAACATGAAAATGGTGAAGAATCAGGTTTGAGAACCAGTCAGGAAACTCAAGTATCGGAAGTGCGGTGCTGTCAGCATCTGGAAGCTGTCTATTGCAACTGCAGGGGTCTCAGATAGGCCAGGGCATAGGGGACAACAAGAGCATCTGCCACAGCCACCCAAGGGAGTCAGTCAAAGCACAAAGTGGTCCTGGACATTGCTCTAGAAAGTCTCGAGGAGCAGGCAGTGCAGAAGACAGAGGCAGAATTGAGACCCGCAGTGGCTCTAAGTATAAGTGGTAGGATTTGGTATGCTTTCCTACTTTTCTATACTTTAAAATGTTGTATTCTATAATGGAAAGAATTCCTAACGGTAAGGCTGGAGGCCCCGGAGGGAGGGGTGAGCACTTCGGGTACTGATGGCATGCTATCGTTTCTGGCTGCTGCCCCTTTCCACATCAGGCACTGATGACGTGCCAAAGTCCCCGGCTGTTGCCCCCTCACAACCAGAAAAATGTTCCTTAGGCTAGCCAATTGTCACACCGCTGTAAATCGAAGCTCTGCCTACCCTTACCTTCTTTAAAAACTCCCCACGTGTCTAGTTGCACACAACTTCCCCTGCCTGTAACTAGCCAGACTGGAGAACATCACCCGGGATTGCGCTCAAATAAACTGCCGGGCCCTTTGTTGCCTTCGTTGCCTGCTTATTTTCGTTAGAATTTATCTTACACTACCAGAAATATTAACACTCAGTGAAGGGTCCCCACCAGTAAAATGGCAAACTTCCGGCTTCTTTTCGGGGTCCTCGGTTCCCGCCGGCGCCACCTGAGGCCCAATCACCTCTCGCCCCCTTCCCAATCCCAGCACCTAGCCAACAGCCACCAGCCCCGTAGAAGTAACACCACAATCACCCTATGCCCCTTCCTATATAACACTCAGACTACTGCCAGCCTCCCAGCAAGCCTCATTTTATAGACAAGGTTCTCAGAGACGGATGGCTTTCTCACAGCTTCACAGCTAGAGAACTGGTGTGTGGACCTGCTGGACCTGTGCCAGGTCTGCTGCTCTCTCTAACCCCCGCTGCCCCCGGATCCCTCCTGTCCTTTCTTCCCGCCAGTACCCCGCTCCCGCTCCGCCCCTCCTGTCTGTCCACTCACCACCTGCTTCAGTCTCTTGGTCTAGTCGCTTCCCAGATTCCCCTCCAGCCTGACTCTGTCCCTGGAACAGAGCACAGAGGAGAGCCCTCTGAGGAGAGGCTGACCCCAAGTTTCTCCCAGGGACACCTTCTTCCCCAGGTGGCTCACGGCTCAGCATGGCCAATTTGGCATGCCTCCATCTCTCTGAAGCTCATCTTTCTGCCTGGTATCAAGCGGACACAGCAAAGGGGAGACATTAGTCTTCTGGTAGTAGGTGCCAGCGATGCAGCCGCAGGGACTCCATCAGGGCCTGCAAATCTCCTCTGAACCCAGGAACCAGGCACACCCGGCAGAGTCAATATGTTTTGCTTAATTCCTTCCTGACTTTACCTGTCCGCAGGCCTCTAGGCTAATTGAAGCAGCTGGGTCCTGAGCTCCTGTGGGGAGGGCTGGGCAGAGCTGGCTGGGGCCCAGGGACTTGGGAACTTCTATTCCCCCTATGGGAATTGCCATGAGGGTGAGCAGAAGGCAGCACCTTCCTTTAGCCTCTGGTTCCCGTTATTTCCTTATCACTACTTCCTCTCTCAAAATTGCATGTGTATGTGGGTATCTATCTAAAAACAGGTATGGATATAGATAAGGATATGGTATAGAGAGGAGACAGATAGACCCACCTGAGAGAAAATGTAAATCAGACAGTACTAATCTAGACTTCATGCCTGTCTTCAGATTCTTTCCTGTCCTCTACACCAATGGGTCCCCAATTTGGAAAGTTTTTCTTTTAATTTTTAAATTGAAAGCTTGACTGGAAAAGCATTTATCCAAAGTGTAGCCAGCGTTCCTGCAGTTCACAGGGGCTCAAATAAAGAAACAAAAGCTGTTCACCAAACCATAGAAAATAACACTGAAGTCTCGAGATCTTATAACAAACCAGCCTCTTTGTTTTTTATGCAATTCTTCCTCTCCCTCTATCCATTACCCCTTTACCTGTCCTTTCATTCCACACCTTGCTGCCTTTCATACTGAGAGACCACTGCCATCGCTGCTTGAACACCCCTGTCTTCACCCCAGGATTACTCACAGGTTGGGATGCTCGGGCAATTGGTGACCCCACCTGGGGGAGAGTCATGGCCAGGAGGAGTATGGAGACAGCCGCACAGGCCATGGCTCAGTGAAGCAGTCCTCAAGTGCCTTCTGCAGCGGCATGATGCAAATTTTTTCAAAAGAGCTGGCAGAGCACAGATAGGATGTGGGGGAAGAGTGGAGGTGAGCCAGGTCGCATCTATAGCCTGTGACTGAGTTACATGAGCATCCAAGTCACATGGAACCCACATGCCCCAGTGAGAGTGAACTGCCCATTTTCCTCCTTGGGTCTGGACCAGAAATTCAGTGAGCAGAAGAGGACTTAGGGGTCCTGGGCCACAACCAGCAATGTGTCATTAAGCCACATTCAGTCACTTATTGAATGTGACAGGGAAATCTAGATCTCTGGAAAGCACAGGAAAGCGAATCATGATCACAGACCCAGGGTTAGAAAACACATCAGAGCTGATTGCTATCTTAAAACAATCTCCAGATAGACAAGAGTCTTAAATGTAACAGAATCTGGAAGAAGACCAGAGAAATTATCAAGTAATTTCACAAAATAATTTTGAAAGGAGGATGGCTTTGCCAAGCAGGATACAAAACAGGAAAGCTAAAAAGGAAATAAATTAGACCATCTAAAAAGTTTTAAATTTGAAATTTAAAAAAGGGTAAAAGGCAAAAGGAAACATATTTGTAGCACTGTGACGGAATAAAGGGCTAATCGTAACATAAGAATTTTTAAAACTACACATCAGTAAACAGTAAATGGGCAAAAAATAGGAATGAAAATATCAACAGTTTGATAAACATATGAAGACATCCAACTTAGGATTAGAGAAATGAAAACCGAAATAAGAAAATACTGTCACCTACCAATTATCAAAAGACAAGATACTGATTATATGCAGTGTTGACAAAGTGTACTTGCACGTGCGTACAAAATTATGTAGCACGACGTTCAAGGCAGAATTCTTTGTGATAGCGAATGAGTTAAACAACAAAATGTCCATTCAAAAGGGATAGGTTAGTAAATTATGGGAGTTCCTGACCACAGAACACTGTTGTGGAAAAATAAAAAGCAAAGTAGCTCAGTGGTGCAAATTTCCAGAGAAGGGCTGGCAAGACACAGAGGAACCCCAGTATATATGGTGAAGTTTAAAGTGTATATTTTGATCCCCTTCATTTAAAAAAGGGAATCTATATTGGGTGCCTGTGCTTTTTATACGTAGAACATTTCTGGAAGAATATGTCAGAAACTTGGCAATTGTTGCTTCTGGGGAAGGAGATTAAGGGTCTAGATAGGTTTGTGTGCTGTTTGAAAGGTTATTTTTCTAATGTTGGGCGTGTATTTTTTGAATTGAAA